GAAGGTTTAAGTTGGACATCAGGAGGCGCTACTTCACAGTCAGGGCAGCTAGGGTCTGGAACCAGCTTCCAAGTGAGGTGGTGCAGGCTCCCACCCTGGGGGTTTTTAAGAGGAGGTTGGATGACCGCCTTATTGGAGTCATTTGACCCCAGTGCTCTTCCTGCCACGGCAGGGGGTCAGACTAGATGATCTGCTCAGGTCCCTTCCGACCCTAGAAACTATGAAACTATGAAACTATACTCACTGGTGTTTCCTTTCCACCCTCCTGGGGAGCAATCAGATGTACTTTTTCTGTTGTTTGTGTGCAATCAGTATAATCCCCCATTATGAGATCCCCAATTTTAACATCTACTATAGGTTTTGTACTTTTCCACGGTCCTTTATGTCTGCCAAAACCACAATCCATTTTTTCTTCATGAGGGATATCCCCTGCCTGATCCCCCGTTACCTTTGCAGGACAAAATCTTGCAATAGGGCCACAACTTCCGCATCTATAGCAGATTATTTCTCTCGGTTCCTGATTCTTACTCTCTCGGCTTGGCATCTTAGCCATTTCTACTTTTTGCCTCCAATTCCTGAAATCACTCTGAGCAGCTGAAGTAGAACTTCCCGCTTTCCCCACCTTGTTGGGCTCTGTTTCTTGTTCTGCTGCCATAATGCCTCTGCTAAACGTGGGTCTTCTTCCATGGATTTTGGCTGATGCTTTCTAACACATCTCTGGGTATCTCCACTTAAGTCTGTAAAAAACTGTTCTAATGCAAATATATCAAGAACTTTAGTCACTGACTTATCCTCGGGTTGAATCCACCTTTAAAGTAGATCTTTTAACATTTGGACTCACAGCTGTGAACTAAAGTTTTCTGTTTTTTTCTTTGGCCAAAAGCACCGTCTATAACATTCTGGTGATACTTCTAACTGATATAATATTGCATTCTTTACTTTTTCATAGTCTCTTGCTTCTCCTCTAGATAATGCCCCATAGGCTCCTTGTGCTGGCCCTATAAATAAAGGACCTAGCTGACTAGCCCACCTGGATGGGTCCCATCCAGCTGTTATAGCTGTTCTTTCAAATGCCTTCAGTCATCATCATAGGAAGCCTAACACTCCTAGATCTGATCCATGATTTTTACACCATCAGATGTTCTTAACTTGGGTCCACTGTCAGGTTCCCAGCCAATGCATCTCTTTGTGACAGGTATTCTGGGAGCTTCACAAACCTTTTTGGCTTGCCTGGAAAATATGTAATTGGCCCTGCTTTTAATATCTCACTTGCCATGCCTTGATGGGAGAATATAGACAATTTTAAACAGAAGAAAGCTTACTAGCATATAAATTGAGGTCAGTGACTTACATCTGGGATTATTATAGCAGTAATCCCACTACGAAAAGGGCTCTCTTAGAACCAAAGTAGATTGTATTTAAAGTGACTTTGATAAGTATTCTGGCTATTACATAGTCCCTCTAAAGTCAAATTTTCTATAGATTTTTCACAGCTTCTAACATTTCTATATCCAAATCAATTGCTACCTTTTGCTTTAAGAAGAGAACTCACCCAGTTCTCATCAGTAAGTCTTCTCCACTCATATCTGAGCAGTGTCTCATGCTCTCTATATTTTAGTAACGTTCTGTGCCTATGTGCAGATTTTAGTAACCATGTTTGGCCACTTCTTCATTCTCTGGCCCCTTCTGGGGAACTAACTTTGTTGCTGGCAGATTTTTAGCTGTTTCTCCCCTTCATTCATTTCTGGTTCTCATTTTTTTCCTCCAGGTGTGGGAGTTTTCAAATTGAGCAATGTAACCTGATGACATCATCACCCTGCACTTCATCCCCCAGACTCCTGGAGAGTAAGCGCTGAAAATACCTTTGTAACAGGGTTGGAACTAGTCTCCCTGTTAAACTCATGTTCAGTTTTCACTTGGAAAAGGCAGGCAAAGACCTGCACTGGCCTAGACCAGAAGGCAGAGGGTGCTTGAGCATGCTACCCTGCCTGCTGGCCATTGCTGAGCCTACCTCATCCAAGTGGGGACATCCCTGATTGGCTGTCCAGCATATGCCCCCAACCCCCTGCTATCCCTTTGAGTGGGAGATGGGAGAAGGATACCCATCCCAGTGCTGGCTCCTGAATCAGGCATCTTCCTATGCAGGGTGGGGGGGAGGAGCCCCATGCCTTGGGGCTTTCCCTGGCTTGGGGTCCCCCAGCCCAGGGATGCCCTGACCTGAGAAGCTGAGGGGAATACCTTCCCTCCCCCTCCTCTGGGTGGCTTGGTTCAGCTGTTGCCACAGGGAGGCTGAATGCCTCCCCACCTCAGCATGGGGCTTCCCCCAAGGTGAGGCAACTCCAGGCTGGGGGACCCCTGGCTGGGCTGGAGGAAGTCCCCTGTGGTGTGGGGCTCTCCCCTTCCTTGATGCCTGGCTTTTTAAGAAGATATCTGGCCTGAGGAAACCTCCCCCCTTCCCACCTGTGGTGGCAACAGAGCCAAGCTGCCCATCTGCACAGGGCAGGGGTAAGATGAGGAGCGAGAAGAGGACGGGAAGGTTTCTGTTGGCTCCCTGCAGTAGGGTAAACCAGGGTGGACAGGTGCAGGCAGGATGCAGGCTGGGGAGCAGTGACAGCACTGGGATGGTGCCATATAGGCACAGGGCTGGAGCAGAAAAGTAAGAGCTATGTTCCTGGGGGCTGCAAAGCATTCTGGGATGCTGGGGGACTGCGAGGTAAGTTGAGACGGGAGGAGATCTGGGTCCAAAGTCTGACAGACTGGTTTACCTAAATCAGTTACATCCAAAAACTAGGTTTTGCCATTTTGAAAGCATTTTATGTGCACTGAACCTTTGTTGTCTTCTGATTGAAACCAGTTTCCAGTCACTTAAAATGGTTTATGTGTAATTTCTGTCCCTAGCCTATGAGACTGACTTCTCTTCCTAGGCCTCTCAGTGCCTCTTCTACCTGTGTTCTAACCCTAGGTTTTCATGCTTGTTTATTTTCTGCTGCCTGCCCACCTGCAACGGTGTTGACATATTCCAGTAGACGCTGAGCATGGCTCCAGCTGTGACTGGCAGGAGCAAAGCTTTCTAGACTGCATTAGTGCTGCTGGGCAGACAGCGGATGGAAAATAAACAGATCTGAAGGACATTAGTGGTGCTTCAGGCAGTAAAAAGTAAACACAGCTGAGCAGTAGAGAAAGATCTTTTTCTT